GCCGCCGTTCGCAGCAATTGGGCCTCTGTTACTCCACTACTTGGAAAATTTTGCGACATTATTTGGGTGTAAAACCTTATAAGATACAGCTGGTGCAGGAATTGAAGCCACACGACCTCCCACAACGTTTCCAATTTGGTGAATGGGCGCTGGCAAAGTTGGAGGAAGATCCACATTTTTATCGAAAAATTGTGTTCAGCGACGAAGCTCATTTCTGGTTGAATGGGTACGTTAACAAGCAAAATTGCCGCATCTAGAGTAAAGACCAGCCAGAAGCACTTCAAGAGTTACCAATGCATCCCGAAAAAATCACTGTTTGGTGTGGATTATGGGCCGGTGGCATCATCGGGCCGTACTTCTTCAAAGACGAGAATGGCCGGAACGTAACTGTGAATGGCGAACGCTACCGTGTGATGATAACAAACTTTTTTTGCCCAAAATGGAAGATCTGGACTTGGCTGACATATGGTTTCAACAAGACGGTGCCACATGCCACACCGCACACGAAACAATGGCCCTATTGAGAGGCGAGTTCGGTGAACAGTTTATCTCACGTTTGGGACCCGTCAATTGGCCGCCTAGATTGTATGATTTAACGCCGTTGGACCATTTCTTGTGGGATCATGTTAAGGCTAATGTCTACAGGGATAAACCAGCAACGATTGACGCACTGGAAGCCAATATTGAAGCATTTATTCGTGAGATACCGGCCGATATGTTGGAGAGAGTGTGCCAAAATTGGACGTTGCGCATGGGCCATCTAAAGCGGAGCCGCGGCCAACATTTACATGAAATAATCTTTTAACATTAAATTATATCGACCGTTCTATCGACTCAAATAAAGATTTAATCGTTTTCTCAATTTTTTTGTGTTTTTTTTTAAACAAATCCTATACCTCTTAAAAAATCACCCGTTATAATTTTGTAAAATTTTGACGCTAAATAGAGTTATAACCGCTGAGCTATAGATTTATCCGGCTGAGCAACTACTGTGCCACGAATTTTGTACTTTGGATAAGAGTATGTGCAATTTTTTGGTCAGTGTTTATGGTAGCGAGTGATACTGTGGAAGAAACGAAGCTATCTTATATCATATATTCGTACATCTGCGTATAATTTGTCAGTAGGATAAAGTTTCGGTTTTTTAAACATCATTTTTGGAATACTTTTTTGAAAAACATCTAAATTATAGATATGTGAAGAACATACAGCTCCCCATGCTAATATACCATATGTGAGATGAGGCTCGTACAGTTCATGGTATAATATTCGAAAATATTTTTCTGTCAATATGTTCGCAAGATATTTAATTTTGTAGGATTTAAAATATAATTGACATGGATGTCCCAACGTAAATGAGGATCCAAGACCACTCCAATGAGGCTTTTAATTGCACCAATATCTGCAGTTATGCTTATTAACAAATCCAGTTAGATAAAATGTTCATAAATCACTGAAGCAGATATTCTTTACATGAATAGTATTATCATGTTCACAAAACTCAACTGGCCTATCGAAATCAACTTCTGTTAAGAGTAGCAATATTTTTATTTTAAATGGATAAAATTTATGAACTTTAGTTACTGTGTGTACAGAGCCTAATGAAGTATTAGGATTTATTCCAAAATGACCCAAAACTTCAACTTGAGCGGCTTCATCCAAAACTCTCCGATGATCACGTTTCTTATTTGAAACAGATCCTGTTTGAGTAAATTTGGTAACAAGTTCCAAAACATACCTATGCGGAGTTATATTCCCCGGATGTCTGGTGTCAAATGTGATGGCAGTTAGCCCAGCACATTGATTTTGGGCACAATAAATTAGAATCATTCCCGCTATTTCGGCTAGTGATTGTCACAAAGGTAACTGACAGCAAATTAAATTCTTTCTTTCCCGTAGCAACAATCAACTAAACAGGTATAACAATAAATACATTTGAGCCAGGACATCTGTGTTGATGAAAAGAATGCGGAGATAATTCGGGTTGTTATTTTGTGATTGCCACCTTCCGAATGCCTGTTTATGTTAGTAGTTTCCGTTTTAAATTATAAAGGAATTGTAGATTTGGCAAACGCTAACGGGCAACAGTTTGAACACTTATGTAAATAAAGAGTGATATTTTCATGTGTTTTTGTTTCCCATCTGAAGAAATTAATATAAACGAAGATTTTTCTAATTTTCTAGAAAACGAATCGACTGATTTTGAAAAATCATACGTCAAAATGAAGGACTTTCAGATCTTTCAGACAATCTATTACTCGATACCATTTTAAATTTTAAAAGGAATTATCCTGAGGGGCCCAGGGTGAAAGAGGGTCAGGGCCAAATCTTTTGGCGTTTTTTTCTTTTAATCAGTGGTTTTTAATAAATCCATGGTGCAAAGTTTTCAAATGAACACCCTGTATAATAAAAATATTGGGGAGCGTTATTAATCATATAGTTTAGTAGCAAAAAAATATAGAAAAATGTTCAAAAATGGCGGTACCACAGCCATTTCCACGAGATACAGAATTTGAGGCGCTCTGGGGCACGCATTCTAGCTGCAAATTTGGAACTAGAAAAATAAGTAATAAGTTACTGTATATGCCTGTAGCGAAAGAAATATACTAAGTAACATATAAATCCGAACACCCAGTTTAAATGGTTTTATTTTAATAAAAGTTGGTGAATGTATTTATCTTACTGTAAATAACAAGTGAAAAAATTTTCACCCTTATCAGTTGGACATTCCGGTTTTTATACTGCTTTTTTTTAATTCACTAACGCTCTAAAAATGAATATTTCAGCCGCAGTAAAGAATCAACGTTGGCTGTGGTTAGGTGTTGTCAGGCATGGCTTCGAGAAGGCCGTACGCAAAGAGCAAGGGGCACTGGACGCCGCCATAGAACAACAGACCGTGAAGATCGCCACGTAAGATTATTGGCCTTAAGGGACCGTTTCTCCACTACCAGGTCCATTGCAAATGAATGCTTTGCAGAGCACGGAAGACCTATTGGCATGCGAAGTGTTTACCGACGAATGTGAAGTTTTGGCTTGTTTTCATTCCGGCCAAACTGGGTCCTCCCTTTAACTCGAGAACACCGACGTAATCGCCTTGAGTGGTGCAGACAACGGTCACTCTGGGATCAGGAATTGAACAGTATTGTCTTTAGTGACGAGTCTCGATTTTGTTTAGGCATGCACGGTGGTCGTGCCAGGGTTAGAAGGCGACGTGGTGAAAGGAGGAATCGACAGTTTTTTGTTGAAAAACATGCTCATCACACTGTTGGAGTTATGGTTTGGGGTGCTATAGCTTATGGTTTCAGGTCACCTTTAATCTTCATCAGGGGTAACATGAACGCGCAGCGTTATATCCACGAAGTTCTAGAACCCCATCTTTTACCCTATCTTGACACCCTGGCAGATCCAACTTTTCAACAAGATAATGCCCGACCACATGTTGCAAGAGTCACAATAGACTTCTTTCAATATAATGATATCACATTGTTACCATGGCCACCAAGATCTCCCGACTTATCCCCAATTGAGCACGTGTGGAATATGATGGGTAGGAGATTGCTCAATTTGCAACGTCCTCTTCAGACTCTAGAAGCACTTCGAGAGGAGTTGGTGGTTGCCTGGAATGAGATACCACAGGAGGATATTGACCACCTGATCAGAAGCATGCCTAGGCGCGTTGGAGAATGCGCAGCACATCAGGGTGCATCCACACATTATTAAAGGTCAAAGGGCTTTAAAGCAGTGCAATCATTTTGAAATTTTTATCATTTACTTGTTATGCTTCATTAAGTACTTATACAAAATTTTATTAAAATAAAACCATTTAAACTGGGTGTCCGGATTTATATGTCACTTAGTATACGTAGGGGATTCTAAGAATATCAACTTTTGTATGGTTGGCGAGTGTTTGATTGAAGACGTTCAATTTTCAATGGAAAAAGGTAATAATTTGATAATAAAAAGTGATTAAATTAGCCCCCTACGAATTCTTCTCTTTGTTTTAAAAATACTTGTAAAAAATCGAATGAAAAGAATGATATTTATTCAACTTGTGCTGCGTGTAGTCTTAAAAATCACGCTGCTGAGTCGCCAGAAAGCAGTTAGAGTGGATGTGACCAGTTTTTTCTACGAATTCAAAAAACCAGGTTTCATCATGTCATCCTCACTAATTTGTTTGTTTGTTTTTTATATATATCGGAGCAGCCGCGCAGGCAGAAGCCTAAATGCCGGAACATCGCGGCTGCTATGATGATCCCAAAGAAATTTTGTTAATACGATTTTTGAACTGCCTAAGGTTAGTAGAGCTTCCTCTTGTAGATTGTTCCACTATCTCGATACCTTCGGGATAAAGGAGGGGTCGTATCGGCCAGTTTTGGATGTGAGCAGTACTCAAGGGTAGGCCTTATCTGGGCCTTGTATAGATTGAGAAGGTCATGCGGAGAAAAGTACTTCTTAGGCCCGTATCGTCAGCCGACCCTACAATTGTAGGGCGCGTTTATGGCCTCCTTGATTGTCATACTCCTTTCTCTCCTTCAAAAATTTATAGATTACACTTGTCCCGTGTCAGCGTTAGCGCTCTCCTATTGTAAAGATTTGTTTTCCTTTAAAATTGTAGGAAATTTCAGGCTAATAAAACATGATATAACTCAAAATCAAGCACAATTTGATGCAAATTGATGTTTGTGACATAACCTCAAAATAGAGCGCTGACACGGAGAAGTAGAAAACTATGTCAATCAAGGAGGCCATAAAGGCGCCCTACAATTGTAGGGATGACTGACGATACGGGCCTTAGCCCTAAACAAATAGCCCAGCTGTGTTCGTGCCAAATCAGGTCCTCGGTGATCTGGACTTTGTGTATTGACATGCGAAAAACCAAATGAGAAGCGAAAAGGTAGGTTCTAGACTTCACTTGATTTTCTTCTTTGTTCTAGCACTGCCTGCCCAGCCGCGTCAGCTCCCCAATGTCCACCATTCGCGGCTCGCCCTCCTCGCAGGCCCTGCGCTCCTCCCCAGCTTCCGCCACTGCCTCGGCGGTCGCCTCTCCAGGCGTTCGAAGGTCACCCGTGCGTCATTCGCCCGTCCGGGTTTCCATGGCCTCGTCACCGGCATCGTCTGGGCCTAGGAGCTCGCCGTCCGTCACCAGTCTTACCAGGTGGGTTTTTTCAAATTACGAGCTATCAAAAAATACTTCAAACAAACTCGGCACAGCAGTGGCATGAGAGAGTAGAATAACTGAAAAAAGTGGGCGTGGTTCTGTTACTTCTTGGGCAACTGTTCCTAAATACTGTTAGAATAGGCCCTTCCCGAGTCGTGCGGAAATGTCGCCACCATCCATCATTCTCATCTCTAAGGACAAAGTCATTAAGCGTTTAAAAATGGGAAGAACGTGGGAGCACATTACTTTGCCAAAAATGAATGCATCCTTCAAGTTGTACGACATATATCTACAGCTATCTAAATCTGGGACCATTCCTCAGGGATCATTACCAAGGAAAATTTCTAGTCTATACTTGAATCCATTTCAAGTGAGACCAGGCACAACAACCAGCACGCGTCGCTGGCATGATGGTCGTACACACAAGAACCGAGCAGGGTTGGACTCAAAACTATGGAAATATTAAGGTGATATTTCAGAACTAAATATTTGAAAAAGAGACATCAGTAAATAATAACACAACACTACTGTCACAGAGTCAATAGAGGTGATTGAAAGTTAAGGGGGGCACAAAAAGTAATTATACATATGTGTTTGACAACATCAATATTTTTCACTAGATGTTGATAATTATCGGTTCAATATGCCTTTCAATTATGTTGTCTAGCTCCCACATTGCAACCTCCACTTTCTCCTGAACATGCTTCACACATTTTAACCATTTTTCTGGTGTGATTCTCTGTAACGCAAGGTTGAACAGCTCTTTCATGTCTGAAAACTTGAATGTTGTGTTGTGTTCAGCAACAAAATTCTTTATATCTGCCCATATGAGCTCAATGGGGTTGAGCTCACAGTGGTAAGGAGGCAAACGAAGCACCATTTTATTGTGCGCTTTTGCCATCTCGTCCACTATATATTTATCATATTTTGCTCTGTGTTGTTTCACAAGATCTAGAAGTTGTAATTTCAACATAAACGTATCAAAAGGTATATTTTTGCACGTAGCCAGTCCTGTATCTCTGATTTCTTAAAAGATGAATTTGGAATTTTTTCTAATTTCCGAGAATGATACGGAGCATTATCCAGGACCACTACAGAATTGTCTTTAAGACGTGGTAAAATGCCTAAAAACCAGTTTTCCAATGCTTCACCATTCATCTCTTCGTGGTAGTCATTGGTTTTTTTTTATTCAAAACACCATAGTCCTTCCTTCACGAAGCCATCTACACTCCCGATGTGGCAAATAATGAGCCTTTTTCCTTTGCCTATAAAGATAAAACTTGTTAAATACGGATGTACATTATATGTCTTTCACAAGAGTACTGAGGCCACGGAGATAGGGACACATTTCTGTATTCTATATACGATGCTATATTGTTTCTCATGATAGCGGGATGCATGCGGTGAGATATATCGGACACTTCAACCAATGCATCATTTAATCTGTTGATGAATCTGGTTAGCTTAAAAAACAAAAAAAAACAGGCAACGTCAATTAAACTAAAAAATCATCAAGTGTGACAAACTTATCGAAAAATTTACAAATCAACACAATGTCTGACGTTGTTAATTAACGTGTTACATTCCATGACGGACGAGGTATGTTGTCTCTGCAACGCTCGCATTGCTGTAAAAAATCTTGTCATCGATACCATAAGAATTCCAACGTAGAATACATTGATTTCCAGAGTGAACATCCCCTCGTTTTTTTCTAGATATCTGATAACGTGTAATGCCTCATTTAAATCACTTTGGCTATGAAAAATTATCTTATAACTATTGTTGGATTTTCTAAAATGGAATGTCTGCATTACCTGTAGGGTTTTTAAGCCCAGTTGAAAGCCCATCTAAAAACGCTCTTCTGGCTGACGTTACTGTTTGGTCCACCCAAACTTTTGATTTTGTATAGTCAGCATTTATCCACGTCTCGCCCAGGAAGTAAATTCTACGGTTTTGGCTCCTGTATGTTTTTATTTTTGTCAAATACTCTCTCCTCCATAGTATAATTTCATCTCTATCGATCAATGAACTGTTTCGGCCTCTCTTCTGCCAATTGAAGTTGAGTTCCTTTAATAGCCTGTAGAACGTCGTTTAACTAAAATTCGGCAAATCTGAGTCTTCATTCACTACTTTCAAAATCTTATCAATTGTAGGAATTTCATTCTGGAAAAAGAATTCATGAACCTTCCTTCTGATCGCATGTCTGTCAGCATCATCTATTTCTTTAATTTGGCTTTTACGGTTCTGATTCGTTTTAGGTTCAGCAAATGCATTCCGTAATTTATATTCTTTGAGTACTCTAAATACCGATGCACGAGAAACTCCAACTTTATTCGCCACCCTCTGCACAACATCGTTGACGCTGAGCTCAGGTGTTTCCTCCGTTTCATATTTGTAAACATTTAAAATAATTTCTTTCACTTCGATGCTCAAATGGTTTTGTCTTGATCGTTTCCTGGGTGGACTCAATGTAGTTCTCCCTTCATCAGCTGTGTCGGTAGAAGACATGGTCAAAAAACACCAGATATAACAGAACTTATAACAGCGATGCACTCGACGCCACGCCACGGCCTGATTACCACTCTGGTTTTTGTAGACATCAACGCGGCGCAACGGCGGGTTTTGTATTGCTACAGTCTAACTAGGTCTTAAAAAATGTTCGAAACTGCTTGTTTTCCAAATTCATGGAGTTTTATATTGGAGCCACTTCAGGACATTGTATTTAACAAAAGCATCAATATGAGGGGCGGAAAGTTTAAAAAAAGAAAAATAAAAGCTACGAAATGAAACTATTAGCTGAAGAAGCAAGCGCTTCAAACTACAACTTCAAACCGTAAAATGCCTGAACTATAATGAGACCCTCTGCGGGAACATCGATCACGCGCTGATCACGCTTCGAGTTTGCGATGTTGTGGTCTCACTTGGGCTGAATTTTAGTATAGTTGCATCTACGGTTACGTCTTGAACATGGAGGTCAGTCTTGGTTCTTTTTCATCCACAAATGCATAATTTATACCCCATTCGTAGACCATTTACGCCCAGACAAAACACAACATGCAGAAAAGCAAGATTGTACAGGTCCCTAATTTCCTCAATGGTCCTGCAATAATCTAACAAAGTTAATTATTATTTTTATAGAAAGAAGTGCACATACTTTTCACAATCCTCTGTTCGCTGGAAGTAGATGTGCTTTGGCATCTCATTTTAACAAAACAGGTCACTCTATGATTTATGGCAGTATTGAGGTTCTTGATAAAGAAAAAAGACTCTCAAAACGTTTATTTTTAGAAATGTTCCACATTTTCATGACAGATCAGGCTGATGTTAAGCATCTCAATGTCATTTATTCCTACCTGTTGAATTGCGAAAAGCTAGAACGGCCAAATCGAACCAACATAGTCACAAAATTAGAATACATTTTCTCACTCACAATCTTTAATATAAACTCACATAACCCATCCTTTCAAGGTTGTATCACTATCTCACATTCGTACACTCATATGAACTACACATTTTCCAAAACAAATTAATTCAGCATTTTTGTAATTCGGGTGGAGGTTTACCGAGCGTCCCTCGTATACTTCATACCCAAATTGGACAATGAGGTTTACAGTTCCACGGTACGTGGCGTCAATCACTTGTCATCTGTCGACGCATTATCTTTCCGTGCCGTCCCCTCAACACGTGTAGCGGAAGTAGGAGGCTAGAGACTGCATTCCAATAGTTTCACTAAAATGTCTTCTCATGTTCAATGATTTTTCATATGTTCTGCCCAATGTCTCCGTCCTTTTGTTTTTATACTTATTACAAGTTATATCTTCTCTACGTTCGTTTTGAAACACCTTGTGGCTGCAACCTTAACGACGAGTAAGTTGTTTGACAATTTAAATCTATCCTGTTTTCTTTGCTAGCATCACAATTGTGTTTTCAGAATCCTGATGAAGGCTCCATAGAGAATGCCGAAAGCTTGAGTTTATCGTCAAAAGAGTCAACTCAAGCCTAAGAATTTGCCAATTTCCCAATTAACAATTGATTGTATTTTGTGCCCAACTGGTCGTTGGCTTTGGCAATGACTACTGCTCATATATATACAGGGTGACTTCGAAGTTGAGTCATTTATTTTAACAGTGAGTAGATCTGATCAAAAGAAATGTTTTTTTCCTTTACCATTTTTCTGGTAAAATTAAAGTAACAAAGTTATAGCCCTTTGGAAGTTTGAGTACCGCCCTGTCTCAATAATAATATTATGTGCTCGTGTTTGGCAACAACGGATATAATCCGCCTTATCGGTTCATCGCATCGGAAACAAATAAGCGAAAGAATTTGGAACGATGTTTTTACAATTATTTTATTCAGTTGTATACAGTCAGTGTTAGTCGGTAACGCGTGAGTGAATAGTGGTGTCTGTTGCGTGGCTCAAACGAAATCAAAAATGGCACATGTTTACGAAAATGCTGAACTTGTGGACATCCTTTGTTAATGTAGTACAAAGGGCTCGTGAATCAGGTGACTTAAGACCTCACAGGGCAGGGCATGCCGGTGCTCCAAGAACGCACGATCAAATACAGGTCCGCACTGAAATACTTGTCGGGAGGATACTTTGTAAAACAAGGTAAACTTTTTTTTTATTTTTACACACATATTTTGGTTTATCTTCCTTCTACAATCATTATCTGAAAATTAATGACTCAACTTCAAAGTCACCCTGTATATATATATATATATATATATATAAATATATATATATGTATATATTTTGTCTGTTGACAAGTTGTTATTCAACATATCTTGATAGATCACACCATCTCAAATGATTTGGCATACATTTTTACAAAACTTTCGTTCCATCCATCGACACTGACACTACCAACCTTCTGTCATTTGTCAAATATTTCATTCTACATATGATCCTGTCCCACACCATTTTGTGCAGCATCAAGTGGCTGGTTCACGATGTAACATGCAATAATTTTAACGTTCATTCCAAATATTTTTAATCCGTTGTGATATGTTCCCGACCACCTTAACCATCCTTAAAACAAGACCAAGACTGACCCTTACAACAGACCTATTCCTCGGCCTTCTGTTATAAGTAAGATGATGGAAAGGTGCATATAATAGGTATAGAGATTGTCAAACTTTCTACATGAGGCTTTTTCCAGTTCTACTGATCTCAGGCACCTCAAAAATCGGATCAAAGTTTCGTTACGTCCTGAACTGGCATTTGGGCTTGAAATAAATAACTCACTTTCATTGTATATACATATATTTCCTAGACATTATAAAACAAACTATACATAAGTGCCTTGTCACCAAGCGACCATCCCCCAAACCTTCCCAATGATTCTTGCTGTCAAAACGTACACGGGCATGAAAATGAGGCCCATTATCAGGAATATGATGAACATCACTATTACGATCTCAGCCAGAAATACGATACTCTTCACAATTTTGTCTTTTGGGTCTTCGGTTTCGAAAATGTCTATCAGTCTATCCAACATAAACCTAGCGAAGTAAACGAATCCGTCCAATAGGGGCGCCAGGTTCCATAGCATCACTAGAATAGTGATGGCCGCGGTGTACGCGTGCGTGCATAGTGAGGTTATGAGCGTCACGAAGGAGATTTGTTCAGTTCTAGAAAGTCCTGGAATATAGATAAAGATTATGTTCTTTTGTATAATATCGAACGGTCCAGGAACGGCAAGTCATTTGGGGGTACAGCACAAGTAACATACTAAAGCGAAAAAAGTAAGGTTTAAGAATTCGTTCATATTGGGCCTGCTTCAATATCGAGTAGGACAATTGCAGGACGCCTTTATGGACTCCTTGATTGTCATAATTTTATACTGTTCCGTGTCAGCTTTCTATTTTGAGGTTATCTTTCCAATATCTATTTGCATCAAAGTGCATACTTTTGTTTTATATAATCTGTTATACAGGGTGTTTCAGTTTATTGTTGCATAACTTTAAGATTCGATAGAACTTTTAAAATTAATGCATAAAGTCTATATAAACATGGATCGAAAAATGCGTCCGGTTTAAATTTACTTTCTAAAATAGTTTTTTTTTAAATATTTCGAACAATTTTTGATGTATAACAGTGAAAATTGGTATACAAGGGCTTTTTGGTACGACAAAACGAACCATGGGCATAGTTTTACTGTAGCCGCTAGAGGGCGCTCTCTACTGTACCTGTAGTGTATTAAAATGACCGAAAAACTTTACTTGGTGCAATTTTTTGGTTTTTGAATAAAAAACTGATTCTTCGCACTTTTCAACATAAGAAAGCTCTCTTGTGAGTTTTCGTTATAGTTAGCCGTTTTTGAAACATTTCGATTCTTAAGGTTGGATGCATTTTTAATTATTTATGGGAAAATAATATTTCTTTTACATTTTCGATTTGGGCATTACAAGTAATTAAGATGATCGTTTAGATTGTTTTTTAAACACAGCAATAATTCCTAACTCCAAATAAATACAAAAAAACAGAATATTAATTTGTTTAATTTTCCAACATTATTTTTTACAAATTAAATGAATTATTTACAACTAAAATGCTATTGGCTAGTTAGGACAAACATACAAAATCTAAAGTAGTTGTTCGAAATGTAAACCCAATTGTTTAATACACAACTCACATCTACGAATGATCGAACGTGGTATAGCATTATTCAAATAAGGCCTTATTTCATCACATGCATTCCTGATTCTGTCTATCAGCATATCTCTTGTGGTTACGGGAGTCTGGTACACTTTTTCTTTTAGAAATCCCCACACAAAGAAATCTAATGGATTTAGGTCGTGGAGGCCAGGCGACTGGTCCTCCACGGCCGATCCATCTTTCTGGATAATTTTCGTCCAGCCAGTTTCTAACTATTCCCGAATAATGAGCTGGACAACCATCAAGCTGGAATCAGGCCAATCTTCTTAAATCTAAAATAACATCATCCCACATATTTGCGTGTTCAGCCTTTAAAAATTCCAAGAAGGTCGCAGCATTTAACCTTGCAGGCAAAAGGTAGGGTCCAAATAGTCATCGGTCCATAAAGCGTTACTTAAAAACTCCCTATTATTATCAGTTCTATCATGAATCCACTGACAAAATGTGATTCTTCGTTCTCCGTCCTCTGACTGTAGTCCTTGCATAGGTTGCAAATGGTAAGGACGTCTATGGTTATTTCTAAGAACACGGTGAACATGGCTTGCTGAAATTCCCAAGGCACCAGAAACTCTTCTAACACTTGTGGTCGGATCTCTATCAAACTCACGCAGAATCATACGGGTAAATCTGCGCTGACGAACATTTATGTTGTGATCCCTTTGGAGATTTCCAAAACCATTTTCAATTATTTGGCGATGCAGTTTTACAAATACTGAGCGAGTTGGATGTCGTCTGTTTGGAAATCTTCGTGCGTATTCTGTGGCTGCTTCTGCTGCGTTTCCATTTACAAAGCCATACACGATATGAATATCCGCTAACTCTTGATTGGAGAATAAAAATGGCATTTTTATAAAACTTACAAAAAAAAACAGGTAAAAGAAACTAAATTTCGTGCATTCACAATTGCAAAAAACTTTTCAGGTTTCAACAGACAACAAAACTAACTGCCAACTTTAACGTTTAACCTTATTCTGCTTTCAATTTCAAAAATATTTGCAGCACAGCCTACTTCTAAAAATTATCGAGATACTGACTTTTTAACGTTATTTTATTATAAATAATTAAAAATGCATCGAACCTTAAAAATAGAAATATCTCAAAAACGGCTAACTATAACGAAAACTCTCAGGAGAGCTTTTTTATGTTGAAAAGTGCGAAGAATCAGTTTTTTTATTCAAAAAGCAGAAAATTGCACTAAGAAAAAAATTTCGGTCATTTTAATACACTTCAGGTACAGTAGAGAGCGCCCTCTAGCGGCTACAGTAAAACTGGTTCGTTTTGTCGTACCAAAAAACCCTTGTATACCAATTTTCACTGTTAGACATCAAATATTGTTCGAAATATTAAAAAAAAACTATTTTAGAAAGTAAATTTAAACACCACGCCACGCATTTTTCGACCCATGTTTATATAGACTTTATGCATTAATTTTAAAAGTTCTATCGAATCTTAAAGTTATGCAACAATAAACTGAAACACCCTGTATAAGCCTGAATACGGTTTGAACTGTTTGACCATCCGCCTTACTCACCAGATCTAGCCGCAAGCGACTTCTTTTTGTTCCCTCATATAAAAATTGCACTCGGAGGTCAGAGACTTTCGTCAAATGGAGAGGCAATCACCTTCGTGAACAATTGTTTTGCAGAGAAAAACGCCGAGTACTATTTGAACGGGTTACAGAGATGGGAGCATCGCTGGGTGAAGTATATACAGTTACAAGAAGACTATGTGAAAAAAAAACAGAAAAAATGTCTTGTATGTTTGTTAAGTTGGAAACTTTTCCGACCACCCTCGTATGTCAAGGTAGCTGCACTGCCGTTTACAGGGTACTGATACCAGGATGATTGTTTTGTGGGAAAAGTGAAATGAGGGCTTATTTGCCAGCGCATTCACCATATTTCCATATGTTGATTTGGATGTCACTCCCGCCAATTCTCCGACTATTCATTTGCTTTGTAAGAACTTTGTATAATGTTGTCGTAAATGTGGTTTTCCGGTAGATTTCGATTGAGTTTTGGTTTCATCAGCCCAAGTCTTGAATTAAATATTGAATCTATCATAGTTTGCAAAATAGGTTCCGGATAGGTCGTCTTCTTGATTTTTATCGTTTTCTACTGTTCCGCGTCAGCGCTCTATTTTGAGGTTATGTTACGAATATCTGTTTGCATCAAATCGTTCATGCTTTTGATTTATATCAGCCTGAAATTTCCTACAAGTCAAAAAAAAGCATAGCCTCACAATAGGAGAGGGCCGACGCTGAAACGGAACAGTAGACATCTAGAAATAGCCCAACCTATCTGAAGGAGAGAAAAGACTATTAAAATCAAGGAAACAATAAAGGCGTTCTACAATTAGAGGAACGGCAGACGATACGGTCCTTAAGCGCAATTCAGACATAAAAGTCAATCAGTTTCGTACTATATAATAACTAGCTATTGACGAATTTCGTATTCTGGGTCATTATTTTGTTATGTGCTATACCATAGACTGAACCGTTAACCTGGGCCACCCTGTATATAATGTATCACTTACCCCTATTTTCTTGGTAGTCCACGATTGGTTCCCGGACGGTTCGAAGCATTCCTATGATTGCTGACTGGGATATTCGTAACTTCTGGCTCACCATTTCAGCAGTGCCTCCTGTCTGACTTCCTGGCATGGAACTTACCTAAATGGAGTATTGACGTTTCATTTACTAAGGCGGAGTTACACCATTATCATTGACCCAGGATTTTAACGCGGTAATTTGTAATAAACGCGTTTCAACACACTTTAAACCGGGATTAATAGCACTAATTGTGGATAAGACTTGAACAGTCACATATTTAATCCCAGATAAAATGATGACAGGTGACATTGCATTTGGGAAATTCATCCCAAAACTGTGCTAAAAAATTGCGTATTTTAATAGAAAAGTAGTAGGTGTTTTATATTGACTAGTGTGTTTTGACAGTTTTGTTGTTTTCAATGTATTATCTTTGAAAAAAATGCCATTGAGGAGATTATATAGTAGTGAGTATCAAGGCGATAATAAGAATGAAGATTTTATCGTTAAACATCTCTTATCTTCATATTTCACATTTGGATAGCATTTCCTTCAATATACTAAGTGATATATAAATCCGAACACCCAGATTAAATGGTTTTATTTTAATAAAGTTTTGTATAAGTACTTAATGAAGCATAATAAGTAAATGATAAAAATTTCAAAATGATTGCACTGCTTTAAAGCCCTTTGACCTTTAATAATGTGTGGATGCACCCTGATGTGCTACGCATCCTCCAACGCGCCTAGGCATGCTTCTGATCAGGTGGTCAATGTCCTCCTGTGGTATCTCATTCCAGGCAACCACCAACTCCTCTCGAAGTGCTTCTAGAGTCTGAGGAGGACATTGCAAATAGAGCAATCTCCTACCCATCATATCCCACACGTGCTCAATTGGGGATAAGTCGGGAGATCTTGGTGGCCATGGTAACAACGTAACATCATTATTGTTGAAAGAAGTCTATTGTGACTCTTGCAACATGTGGTCGGGCATTATCTTGTTGGAAAGTTGGATCTGCCAGGGTGTCAAGATAGGGTGAAAGATGGGGTTCTAGAACTTCGTGGATATAACGCTGCACGTTCATGTTACCTCTGATGAAGATTAAAGGTGACCTGGAACCATAAGCTATAGCACCCCAAACCATAACTCCAACAGTGTGATGAACATGTCTTTCAACAAAAAACTGTGGATTCCTCCTTTCACCACGTCGCCTTCTAACCCTGGCACGAGCATCGTGCATGCCTAAACAAAATCGAGACTCGTCACTAAAGACAATACTGTTCCATTCCTGATCCCAGAGTGACCGTTGTCTGCACCACTCAAGGCGATTACGTCGGTGTTCTCGAGTTAAAGGGAGGACCCAGTGTGGCCGGTATGAAAACAAGCCAAAACTTCTCATTCGTCGGTAAACACTTCGCATGCCAATATGTCTTCCATGTTCTGCAAACCATACATTTGCAATGGAACTGGTAGTGGAGAAACGGTCCCTTGAGGCCAATAATCTTAGGCGGCGATCTTCACGGTCTGTTGTTCTACGGCGGCGTCCAGTGCCCCTTGCTCTTTGCGTACGGCCTTCTCGAAGCCATGCCTGACAACACCTAACCACAGTGTCTACACTTCTTTGCACTCTAACTGCAATCGCCCGAAAAGAAAGTCCAGCTTCCCGAAGTCCCACTATACGGCCCCAATCACACTCACTAAGTTGTCGAAATCGTACAGGTCTCCGTACTCTAGGCATCGTAACCGATCGTAAAGGATGTCAAGAACCAAAATCCGCCAACGTTGATTCTTTGCTGCGGCTGAAATATTCATTTTTAGAGCGTTAGTGAATTAAAAAAAAGCAGTATAAAACTGATAAGGCTGAAAATTTTTTCACTTGTTATTTATAGTAAGATAAATACATTCACCAACTTTTATTAAAATAAAACCATTTAAACTGGGTGTTCGGATTTATATGTCACTTAGTATAATTGAATGATCCGCAATTTTCAGACATTTTTACACCACAAATAAAACGCACCAATAACAACAAACTCCAAAAGTCATAAGAGTTGGGTTATAATAATGATGACTACAGGACAAATGAAAAAACACACTGGCGTCTTTGATTCGTGAAACGCAAAGGTTGTCTTCTCTTGACGCTGTTGCTACGACATGTGTTAAACTTATGAGAGATTAGTTGATCCTGAATTATTTTCGATTTCTCAAGTTATTTTAAAAATTACCTGAAATCCTTGCTCGCCCCGTAAGGGCAGCTCTTCTAGCGGTAAATCTGACTCACCCTCCACTGTTTTACCGGGTACAAAATGGACCTACAAAATTCTTGATTATATCTTTGAAAAATGGAATCAATTAGATTGATTCTGTACTCGAAATCCGGCTGTGGTACGATGAACCTTTGACCTTGCATATCAAACTAAGCAAATTTATCATATTGCAGTTTCCGTGGCAGATGTACTGACACCAAATATGCTGATGTTTATTAATGAAACATAAGTACTGAGTCAATCCACATGACGAAATACAGGGTGACTTTGAAGCTGAGTCATTTATTTTAACAGTGAGTAGATCTGATCAAAAGAAATGTTTTTTTCCTTTACCATTTTTCTGGTAAAATTAAAGTAACAAAGTTATAGCCCTTTGGAAGTTTGAGTACCGCCCTGTCTCAATAATAGTATTATGTGCTCGTGTTTGGCAACAACGGATATAATCCGCCTTATCGGTTCATCGCATCGGAAACAAAAAAGCGAAAGAATTTGGAACGATGTTTTTACAATTATTTTAATCAGTTGTATACAGTCAGTGTCAGTCGGTAACGCGTGAGTGAATAGTGGTGTCTGTTGCGTGGCTCAAACGAAATAAAAAATAGCACATGTTTATGCGGATCGGTTTCCCAATCGAGTGCAACCAACCCCTCGTGCCTTTGTTAATGTAGTACAACGGGCTCGTGAATCAGGTGACTTAAGACCTCACAGGGGATGGCATGCCGGTGCTCCAAGACCTCACGATCAAATACAGGTCCGGACTGAAATACTTGTCGGGAGGATACTTTATAAAACAAGGTAAATTTTTTTTTTATGTTTACACACATATTTTGGTTTATCTTCCTTCTACAATCATTATCTGAAAATTAATGACTCAACTTCAAAGTCACCCTGTATATTTAAGATCATAAAATTCTGAAGAATATATGTGGTGATATAAAGACGTTAAGTCACCATTTACAAACGCATTGCAAAACGCTAAAGTGGTACGTACTGACTCCTAATATCCAAATATTGCTAAAATATATAAATATTTATTCGGTATCGGTGTGTCAGTGACGACACTACCGCTGACCCGTTTGTTACCCATTGCGCAGACGACAAACAGGAGGAAAACAAAAATGTGGTTCGATTCGAGCAGACAGTGGAGTCATATGAACATGAAAACCACATCATCAGTTTCAAAAGTTACATTGATGTTTATCAGTGTGCTAAGACTATGAAGATATTTGGAAGAATGAAGAATGCATTGCCTTATCTACTTTTACCCTTTTCCTTAAGCAAACTCAATACCGCATGTCGTTATACAGACATACTGTGCTGGCCAAAGTCGTTTTGCCTTTTAGGCTGCCATGAGTACGAGAGAAAAGCGTCTTAGAAACGGTGCACCATATGAACATCGGTACCACGTCTGGCAATGACAGTGAGGAAGGGCGCTGAGCAGTAGGGGTGTTACGTAACTTGGAAAGTGACATTGTGTCGGTTTTTTCGACATTATGTTGATTTGTTATGACATCATATAGATTTCCTTACAAGATGTCAATTAAGAACTAGCTGTCGTTCAGTTCATGCTCACTTGTATCAGGCGCGGAATAAACTATTTGCACACCACCATCTATCTGGTCAACAAGTTGACATGTTATCGTTTTTCTTTTTTTTTTTGATATATCGGCACGGGTATCACATAACTTGAAAAGTGACATTATGCCGATTTTTTTTTTGACATTATGCTGGTTTTCTTTGACATTATGTAGTTTTTTTACAAGATATTAACTTATCACTTAGTTGTACGTGTTGCCTAAACATTATGAGGCTTGTATCAATCTTTGGCTCTGATGTGATGTAAAATCTGCTTCTGAGATAACATTACTAGAGATCTAAGCTGTAAGTTGTATGTGTTGATGATAATTATATTGGGTTCTTGTCTCAAGTAAACTTAATTGAGATTCAAAGCTGCTTGCGGATTAACTTTTTCTTATCCATTCTGGAAATTACATATACAAATTTGCTGAATTAATTTCAAGCATCTTTCAGTAGATATTTTACACATCAAAGATTTCCCCATTCATTTGCCATTATAACTTATAGGAATATTTATAGACGTGACACGATGCAACGGCGGCTTTTACACATCAAAGATTTCCACGTTCATTTGCCATTATAACTTGTACTAATATTGCAACGGCTCATATGCCTGCCTTGCATCTGACAGCATCGCCGGCAGAGATATTTTTTTATACGAGTAGTGTCGTATCTGATGCCTATGACGTGTTTGACTTGAGTTGCCCGATGGTCGGTACTTGGAACAGAGAGGAAACTAGCGTTAGCGTTACCAAGTGGTTAGACATTATGTACTAATAGTAAAGGGTTGTCCAATAGGGACGCAGGAAAGTAAACGTCAATTTGACATAGACGCCATCTTTGTTTTCTGTCACCGACATGTCATTTTGTTAGTTGAATGTTTACCATTGATCGCTATGGAGTCGTATTCGATTGAAGACCGCATTAAAGTTATTCAAGAGCACTACAAAAATGGTGCAAAAATAAAAAACGTTTCGCGCGCTTCGTGAACATTTCGGTTGCAACAACCGCCCAAACGAAACAACCATCGGTCGTCTGGTGCGTAAATTCGAGGCAACAGGTTCTGTGGCAAATCTGCCAGGCTCTGGCGTTCGCACACCGGAAAATATTGCTGTTGTGAAGGAGAGTGTGAGAGACGATCCGAAACAATCAACAAATTGATGCCAATTTTTCATCAAAAATCATGTTCAGCGACGAAGCGCATTTCACTTTGAATGGGACGGTAAACAAGCAAAACTGCCGCACCTGGGCGAACTAAAATCCCCGTGAGTATCAAGACCAGCCGATGCATCCTCAAAAAGTGACTGTGTGGTGTGCATTGTGGTCAAAAGGCATCATCGGACCTTACTTTTTCGAAAATGCGGCCGGGGACGCCGTTACCGTCAATTCTGAGCGATATCACGTGATGATAGAGGACTATTTTTTGCCGCAACTTGAAGGAATGGATATGGACGATGTTTATTTCCAACAAGACGATGCAACATGCCACACAACCAACGTCAATATCCATCGATTGCAGTCCTTCTTCGGTGATCGCGTGATTTCGCGCAGAGGAAATGTGCCATGGCCACCAAGATCGTGCGATTTGACTCCCTTGGACTTCTTTTTATGGGGATATTTGGAAAGCAAAGTCTACGTCAACAAACCAGCCACCCTCCAAGAACTCAAAAACAACATCATTGCCGAGATAAATGCCATAGAACCGACCATGTTGCAAAATGTCATTGAAAATTTCGACCATCGCGTGGACGTCTGTAAATCCAGTCGTGGTGAACATTTGAGCGATATTATTTTTCATACATAAATGGTATAAATGAACCTTCAAAATAAAGTACCCAACTTGATTTGAATATTAATCTTTCTTATTTTAATATGCGTTTACTTTCCTGCGTCCGTTTTGGACAACCCCATATATGGGCCTGTTTGGCTGACTTGGTCCACTTAATTTTCTAGTTGTACATTCTAGCTCAAAGGGACTGACTTGGGCTGAATATATTTCTTTAGGAGCTGATGGTAGCGTTGCGTGGATAGCGCAGAGTTAACCTACTTGACGCCATATTTTCAACAACAAAATCTTTCGGAATACGACAGCACAAAGTGCCATCTATTACCAGAATCGACTACTGTGAAAGTACAAACAGCAACCTGTTAGTTGTAACTGTATGCCAGTTCGCATTGCCAGTCGGGTCACCACTGTGGCCGCTAGATGGCGACAAACTGGTAATATAGCTCTTGATAGACCTTGCACTCTGAATAGAATTGCTCAGCTTTCATCCGTTGTCCTGCGACACTAAGCCTACATCATGCTGAAGAGCTGCTAAATAGGTTGGTCGTGTGTGGTCGGACATATGAAAGCTATATCACTACTTCTCTTATTTATGAACCAACCTGTTGAGACTGTGTACGATCGCTCCCTATAAGTAATGCCTGCTTTCTAGCGTGCTTTTCTCTGCATTCAGTCAGCACTGGACACGCTGGTTTGTCATGAAAATGAATAAGTATATATGAGAAACAGCAGTGATTTCTCCAATAGAAATGATGGGAATCTGTATATATAACCGTTCAATATTACTTACTCTGGGTGAACATCTTACGCTACATGAACATGGCAAACCGGCTGAACCAACATGAGGGATGGTCTCACAAAGAAACTAATTTTTGCAAACACAAAAATATGACAGTGGAAGTAACAGTACTGTCAGCTGTGGCACGGAGAGTGCTAGTGTATATATACAGATTCATCATGCGTCTTTGAAGAACGCTAGAATTGTGAGTATGAAGATAAAAAAGCCCGATGCCAGATAGATTGCCCTATTTTGCAGACTGCTTAGACCCATCACCTGCCAATCAGACCCATCTTCAAGGCTCCTTTAAGTATATCGAAGCTGGGAAAGTTGGAGCACCCTAAAGATATAGAAGACTAAATAATGTGGGACGGGGCTTTGGGCTTACAGACGAACATTGTATGCCGATTAACAACTATATTAACAGCATAACAAACAATATCTCGTGCTTATGTGATACATAGCTCCCCAACTAACAATTATCACTCTTATTAAAGTTGCAAGAATGATTATACAGTATTCCTTTATCAGCATTGTATACTGTAAGAACATTAGCAAAACTCTCTTAGAACAGCTATACAAGCGGAATGGGCACACCTGATAGGACACTTCAGTCATTTAAGAGGTTAAATAAGGGCTGCAGGTAACAGATATAAAACAAAAGTGTAAGTCTTTTGCAGCCGCAATAGGACATTTGCGTAAGTGCAGGATTCAGTCTTTGTCAACTATACAACTATTCTGTTACGTGATTCTACTTTATTGCAACCAAACTATTTCTTATGTATTGTATAGACGAAGTGAAGAATATATAACTAACACATTACAGTCATCTTGTTTACTTACATATCGGCCATTGTGAATTTCATACACAGGTATATGATAAACTTCTACACTGTGATATAGGTCTATTGAATTACTTGCGCAGCAAATTTTATTGTGATTATCGTGCAAATTAGTTACCCAATTTCTACGGGCTTCGAATTTAATTCATATTTTGACAATGATCAAAAGTATGTCTAGATTTTTTAAGATGGAAAACTGAACTTATCTGCATTAAATCTTCCACAAATCCAATATTTAAACACAATTACACTAATGTTTATCACTTTATATCTGTAATTTCGAACTGAAACATAATTATTTAATATTAAATAGAGGAATAAATGTTTGCCCAGTATGGCGGGTGGTCGTGTACAATCATGGCATCGTCCATGTTGTCTTTAGGTTATTAGAATATTTTGGTCTTGCCTGCAGGTGTTATACAACAATTTGACAAATGTCTGAAATGAAATACCGACAGAGTCGGACGATTTACCCAGAATTTGTACCAGATCTATATCTTCTGTTTGAACAGTTGATAAAACCTTTTGAACCAATATGCATGCGTTGTTTCTCTTAAAACATTGATTATGGCATTTTAACATTTTGCAAAAATATGACAGCAGAAGGTTAGGTTATGGTGAAGTTTACCAACATATTTAGCATATGTACAGCCTTTAACAGTTACTAAACAACAGTTGTATAAGTGCTTCCGTTGGGAGCAATTTGTTGGCTAAAGTAGTAAATTGCACGGCAAAACAACAAGGCTCGGGTTTGTTTTATAAACGTTACCATGGATGCCACAACACAATCATTTTGACTAACGTGCAAATATGCGGTATAAAATCGTTGTATAAATGTTCATGCAACAGTTAAAAATTTGCCCCATAAGGTATTGTATAACTATGCTATAAGAATATTTTAAACACTTCATTTTAGAGCAAATATGTTGCAGAAAGCAAATCTGCATTCCACACAACAATAAGCCAGCATTTTTGGGTTCAGGCAACAACAATAGAGAGCTTTTATGGCTGAACGGTTCTTTTACCAAAAGCTTTGCTACAGTATATTCAGATAAGAGATAGACCGGATGTAAACAAAAAGTTCGGGTGATTTTCACGCTAACGCCGCCGTCTCGACGTAAAACAGGAGCCCTCATTGGTCAATTCGCAATTAAATGCCTATGCCGAGCGGCAGAGCAGTCGTATCAAGGCAGAGTCACATTCAGGTTCAGACGTCTTACGTATGTCGTGTGCATCATTGCAATTTGATATTTCTTTGGACGTTTTCGTTTGTTATCTTATTAAGTTGTTGAGTTTGTCGTTGTTATTGTTATACCTTGTTATTGATTGTTATTGTTATCAACTGCTTGCGCAAAATGCCCAGTAGTACAGATACTGCCGATGAAGTTGTAAACTCCTGTAGTCCACCTAGGAAACGCTCTAAAAAAAGACACCTGACTGCAGAAATGAAAGAGGTCATTTTGAATATATATAAGATCGAGCGCGAGGAGAACGAGGCATCAACCATCAAAGAAATTGTTGTGAAGGTTTCTCACAAAGTTGGGGTGTGTCGCGCAACAGTGTTTAATGTGTTAAGACAATACAAAAAAAATCACACCTTTTCTGAGCCAATGACCAGTAAACATCGCAAAAGTATTGTTAAATCATTGGATGAAGCTGATAAGCATGCGATTAGGAGGAAAGTGCATGAATTCTTCTTTAGGAATGAAATACCTACTATAGATAAAGTACTGCAGGAGGTAAATGTAGATACAACGTTGCCAAATTTCAAACGATCAACTTTCCATGCGTTACTGAAGCATTTAAATTTCAAATGAAAAAAACGGGGTCGTAATAGTTTACTACTGGATAGAGAAGAAATTGTGCTATGGAGGAGGGATTATTTAACAAAAATTGGGAAATATAGAAATCAAAACAGGAAGATTTATTACCTTGATGAAACGTGGGTAAACGCAAGACACACTACAAGTAAAGTATGGGTTGATGATTCTGTAACTTCATCCAGGAGGGCCTTTCTAGATGGACTGTCCACGGGATTAAAAAATCCAGCAGGTAAATACGAGTAATAGACAACAATCGGATGTTTTTCAAACCTTGGGAACAAGGTTCTGAACATTAATTCCAGGGGGCAAATAAAACATATTACAAGTAACAAAACTTTTATAACTTTCGATAAAATGCGTGGATGTTTTATTGTCATTTTCATTTGTTAGAACTTTTTTAAGCCATGTTTTTATGTGTTTTCGATATTTCAATAATTTTTTAATATAATCTTAAAATATGTCGAATATTATAAACTTAAAAAAAGTTACTAAGTTTTATATTGTGTACCGTTCCTAATATTTCTAATCATTTTAATTCATACTTTAAGCTTTATAAAGTTATAATTTGTTAATATTAATATTTGCGCGTATTTCAGGTTCCTGATCATTCATTTTTTAAAGGTTTATAACTTTAAATTAAATTGTGAAGCGCTGAGTAATCATACGACGTTCAATATTCTTTCTTTCAATATGACTAAATAATCCCAATTATAGCAATCTGATACTCATGTCTCAATGTTTTTTCGCTGAATGTGATGAAAACATTTGAAAAAGGTTCGCTTATTGAAATAAATCTACACCAGTTAGTACTTCGATTTCCAGGTAAAGGGAAAAGGCTCATTATCTGCCATATTGGCAGTGAGGATGGATTTGTTGTTGACGGTCTGTGGTGCTTTGAGTCTAAGAAAACTGGAGATTACCACGAGGAAATCAATGGCGAATCGTTTGAACAGTGGTTTTCAAAAATTTTACTGAACTTAGAGGAAAACGCAGTAATTGTGATGGATAATGCGCCTTATCATTCTCGGAGAATGGAGAAGGTCCCAACAACGGCTTCAAGGAAAGTTGATGTTCAAAATTGGCTCCGCTCGAAAAATATCAACTTTGAAGAAGCAATGCTGAAAGTACAATTATTAAGAATTGTCAAGGATCACAAGGCGGAATATCAAAAATACGCCATTGACGAAATGGCAGCAAGTCAAAATAAAACTGTTCTCCGTTTACCTCCATACCATGGCGAGCTCAATCCCATTGAGCTCATATGGGCAGAGGTTAAAAATTATATAGCTAAGCACAATACAACTTTTAAATTTTGTGACCTCAAAGGACTTTTCAAAGAAGCACTAGAATTAATAACAGCGCAAAAATGGGAAAACTGTATTAAGCACGTGAAAGACAAAGTTGAAAAGAGAATGTGGGAACTGGACAATATTTTAGAGGAACAAGTCGAGCCATTCATTATTGACGTTGGTGCTTCAGGCAGTAGCGATGATGAAAGCTCATCAAGCTCATCTTTCCAATAAAAGATGTTGTTCATCAAATTCGGTAAGTTATAAGTAATTATAAAGCTACTGTATTTTTTAATTAATTATTGACATTTTTGAACCCATTTTGGCAAAACCTATTCAAGAATCTACTTTCTGACAATGTTCAACCATGCACATTTTTTTACGTTTTGAACGTTTTAATTTGGTTACATATTTACCTAGAAATCAAAAAATATACTAATCAATATTCTAAAAGCAATTTTAAGAGATATACGATTATTTTTAATTTAGGCTAATTTAAACGCCATTTTGAGATTATATTCGACTGTATTTCACCAAACATCAGGCGGCATCCGAAGCTGGAAATCGAAGCGAAAATTTTGAAACCCTTATGTATATTTACATCATTATATATTTCTTACCCCACCCCCACATGATCCTATATCCATCACCAATCGTATACACATCGAATTGTGCTAATTTACTACAAAGTTACGCAAAGCAGCATCTACTATCTAAAATATGTACTGCGTGACTCTTAATACGTCCCTGCCGAATGTTACAGCGTTCGATGATCACGTGGTCTTGTTTATGTCCGGTCTATCTCTTATCTGAATATACTGTAGTTGGGTCGCGTCGTTGTCGTCGTCGTTTTTTTTTACTCAGCGACTTTATCAGATCATCAGATGCACGTTACCGACAGAGCCTTCTTCGATGATCTGGAACATGCGGCGTTGCCGGTACAGGCGGTGCAGTGCGCAGGCGCGGCTCTTCTACGCGGGGAGCAGCGTCGTGCGGTTGGGTCGACTCGCGGGTTCCCACAATAATTAGTATTACATCTTTCAGCTGTCTCTGTATAAGGAGGTTTCGTATCTTTATAGTTTTCTGAAGTAGCAGATTCCTTAGCGGCATGGCTGTATAACTTTGGGACACGAGTAGCGCGGAAATAAAGGATTAATCAAAATATGCTACTTACCCTGAATTCTTATCTTCACAGCAACTTCGCAAGGCGTCAACACAGGTAATTCGGACCAGGAATAATAATGATAATAATTATAATTTATTGTAGCACTTATACAAAATAAATATATATACATAAAAATAAACACTCCAAGGGGCTAATGATTGACATTGCCATTTTTCACCGTCGCCTACACCAATTACAAAGAGATTCAGTAAATTAAAACTATTTTATGTAGTAATGCGATTCATCTTATCTATAATTTTACATAGGTAATGTAATGTATCAAATTGTAAATAAAATACAATACTGAATCGTAAGTTCTTAATCTTCAGCTTCGGAAGATTGTAATTGGAGACGCACCTTCTTGGACTCCTTTCTGAAACTACTACTGGAAGTAATTTGGAAAAGTTGTAAATATTTATTCAACAAACAAGGTGCTGTGTAAGTGAAAGCTTTTTTAATTTAGATGTTACATGGCCTGAGATATTATAAGAATTATCGTTTCTTAGAAAAACATGTCGAACAGAGGATCTTTTCTCTAAAATATTATACAGATAATTTGGATATTTATATCTTAAAAGTTTATATAACAGAGCACCATAAAAAAGCAATGAACGGTAGGTAGTTATATTTTAAAATGTCTTCTCTCACATAGTAGCCAGTGATGTGTTCTTCTCTACCTATATCATTATACCAAAATCTTATGCAACGATTCTGTGAAATTTTATTTTTTTTTTCTATTTCCTCTGTAAGTAAGTTGTAATAGACTGTGATCCAAACGTGTAAGGATTAACGAGTTTACAAGCATTAATTTAATATCACATGTCAGTATGTGTTTATATTTCCAAAGCGTTTTATATTTATATTAGCAAAATTTGAGTTTATTCATAACATGACATTCAAAACTTAAATTTTTATCTAATAGTATTCCCAAACTTTTTGTTTCATCTACAATTTGAATAGTGGTACCATCTAAAAGTATATTTGGATTCAATGCCTTTTTGAATTTTGGAACAACTAGTCTAGGCCCAATACAACAAGCCTTAGTTTTTGTGAGGTTAAATCTCAGATAATAATTTTTTGAATACCTTACCATTTCTAAATTACTGTTAAGTTCTGATATGAGGGTATTTGCATCATCTGGTTTACATGCCTTATATATTTGTACATCAACCGCAAGCAAGTGTACAATCCAACCAGATAATGTATGGTCATTTATATATATACTTCAGTTGGCCCACTTCAAGATTTGTACCAAAATATACTAAGTGACATATAAATCCGAACACCCAGTTTAAATGGTTTTATTTTAATAAAAGTTGGTGAATGTATTTACTGTAAATAACAAGTGAAAAAATTTTCAGCCTTATCAGTTGGACATTCCGGTTTTTATACTGCTTTTTTTTAATTCACTAACGCTCTAAAAATGAATATTTCAGCCTCAGTAAAGAATCAATGTTGGCGGATTTTGGTTCTTGACATCCTTTACGATCGGTTACGATGCCTAGAGTACGGAGACCTGTACGATTTCATCAACTTAGTGAGTTTGATAGGGGCCGTATAGTGGGACTTCGGGAAGCTGGACTTTCTTTTCGGGCAATTGCAGTTAGAGTGCAAAGAAGTGTAGACACTGTGGTTAGGTGTTGTCAGGCATGGCTTCGAGAAGGCCGTACGCAAAGAGCAAGGGGCACTGGATGCCGCCGTAGAACAACAGACCGTTAAGATCGCCGCCTAAGATTATTGGCCTTAAGCGACCGTTTCTCCACTACCAGGTCCATTGCAAATGAATGGTTTGCAGAACACGGAAGACCTATTGGCATGCGAAGTGTTTACCGACGAATAAGAAGTTTTGGCTTGTTTTCATACCGGCCACACTGGGTCCCTCCTTTAACTCGAGAACCCCGACGTAATCGCCTTGAGTGGTGCAGACAACGGTCACTCTGGGATCAGGAATGGAACAGTATTGTCTTTAGTGACGAGTCTCGATTTTGTTTAGGCATGCACGATGGTCGTGCCAGGGCTAGAAGGCGACGTGGTGAAAGGAGGAATCCACAGTTTTTTGTTGAAAGACATGTTCATCACACTGTTGGAGTTATGGTTTGGGGTGCTATAGCTTATGGTTCCAGGTCATCTTTAATCTTCATCAGAGGTAACATGAACGCGCAGCGTTATATCCACGAAGTTCTAGAACCCCATCTTTTACCCTATCTTGACACCCTGGCAGATCCAACTTTCCAACAAGATAATGCCCGACCACATGTTGCAAGAGTCACAATAGACTTCTTTTAACATAATGATGTCACATTATTACCGGACTTATCCCCAATTGAGCACGTGTGGGATATGATGGGTAGGAGATTGCTCAATTTGCAACGTCGTCCTCAGACTCTAGAAGCACTTCGAGAGGAGTTGGTGGTTGCCTGGAATGAGATACCACAGGAGGACATTGACCACCTGATCAGAAGCATGCCTAGGCGCGTTGGAAAATGCGTAGCACATCAGGGTGCATCCACACATTATTAAAGGTCAAAGGGCTTTAAAGCAGTGCAATCATTTTGAAATTTTTATCATTTACTTATTATGCTTCATTAAGTACTTATACAAAATTTTATTAAAATAAAACCATTTAAACTGGGTGTTCGGATTTATATGTTACCTAGTATATATATAATGGTTGTTTAATGGGAAGCATTTTCACCAAGCAAAAATATGACAATAATTGTGACGGTACTTGCACTCTTCGAACCAGTCCCGGCATATAAATTGAAAGCACTAAAAAATTGATGCGGCAGCTACCGTCGATCGCTTTCTTCATGTCACCAACTGTTCTATATCCCAAGTATCCCACAAACATTATACCATGCACTGATTGAGCCTCATCTCACATATGGTATATTAGCATGGGGAGCTGCATGTTCCTCACATATCTATAATTTAGATGTTTTTCAAAAAAGTATTCTAAAAATGATATTTAAAAAACCGAAACTTTATCCCACTGAAAAATTATATGCAGATGTTCGAATGTATGATATAAGACAGCTTTATTTCTTATACAGTATCACTCACTACCATAAATTTGTAAAGACCGACCAAAAAATTAAACATAATCATTATACCAGATACAAAATTCGTAGCACAGTAGTTCCTCAACCGCATAAATCTATAATGCAGCGGTCATATCTCTATTTAGCGCCTAAATTTTATGAAATTATACCTAAAGACTTAAAAGATTTACGTTTCGGAAATTGTTTCAAAAGAAATTTAAAAAAGTGGCTACATTCTATATCTAGGACTGAAATTCATAAACTCATAAATACGAACATCAACTAAATACATAATCTACTGTAACTAATTTTTGTCCTCTTTTGTCATTTGCATTTTACAGTTTCAACTTAAATTATTGGTCCATGTACAGGCGATGCCTTCTATTGGGCCTGTTTTGATTTTATATTTATTTACTCATATTCTTTGTTATCTTTGTACATTGAGTAAATAAATATTATATTATTATATTATTATTATTAATTACCTACCATGGGCGTCCAGAAGAATTTGTCAAAAGGAGACAAATCAAAAATACATTGTGCTTCCTAAGGATATTATAATATTACTAAATAAACTTACCTATGCTGATTTTATCAGAAAAATAACCCCAAAATACGGTAAACATGTTTTTTTATTGCGTGAACATTTTTATTCAATCATTGTGTAAATGTGTGAGAGTGACAGTGACGAAAATTTTGATGATTTTATCTCCTACGCCACTGACGGGGAAGTATTGAAATTATATTCATATTTTGCGGCGATGGCTATACGAAATTTAAAATGACGTTACTTGCTTAAAGTGTTTTTCTCATTTAGCCCTTTCATTTTATACCTATATAATAGCGGTGATCATGAAAATTACAAACGCCATCTTGAGGTGGTCTCCATATTGGATTTATAATAAAGCTACCTTGCTTATTGTGTTCCCTTATCAAGGTACCATTAATTTGATACCCATAGTGTAAAGGAGATTGAAAAAATTATCAGTCGCATTTGGCGCTGGCTTCCATATTGGATTTAGAATTACATCGCTTTGCTTGTTATCTGTTTCTCATAAGGTTCTTTAATTTTATACGTATATAATAGGAATGACTATGATAATTATTACGCCATCTTGCGACGGTCGCCATATTGAACTTAGAGTGAGGTCCCTCTGCTTGTTGTGTTTCTCCCATTAAGCCATTTCATTTGATACTCATATTATAGAGGTTACTGTGCAAATGATGAATCGCCATTTTGTAGCATCCGCTTGTGTACAAAATTTGAGTTCAATTAGTTAAGGTAAACTGATTTAAAATACAGTTCCAAAATTTATTCCACACATGCAAACAGGCCAAGTTATATGAAAGCTAGTAAAATAATGCCCGGTCTAACGCCTTCTTCATTCCAGCGTCCTCCGGGCTTCGCCTTCGATGCACCAGCAATCCCCCGGCAGCCGTTCCAGCTCGCCCGCAATGCAGTCCACTTCAGCAGGCATGAACGTGACCATGGGCGGTCCCACGCCCTCCTTCTCCCCATTGGCAACATCCATCGGCCCGGCAGCCCCGCCCACCAGCTGGCATCCAACCAGCTCCGCTTCCCCCTCCACCTGGCAACCGGCCTACACGCGACCCACTTACGCGAGCACCAATCCGTTCCTCACAGGGGCGTACATGAGCTACACGCCTGGCAGCGGTGGTGCAGCTACCAGTAGCGGAGGCAACGCGGGGAGTGAGGAGAAGTTCAATACCATCGGATCTACTAAGGAGGTTGGTAAAGCCACACAAAAGTTTGTGTGTTATATATGTTTTACCCGATGTAATAAAAACAAGTATAATACAAATTGAATATAAAAAATCGGATGTTTCACTAAAAAAATACAAAACTTTACGTCAAACACTACAATTTTTATATTTTTTCTTCATGGCATCACAACCCATAATTTGCGTTTTCCGAGTAATTAGGTATAGCCAAGAGATTTCAGGTACCTTACCACGTCTTCTTTAATGGTAACAGCTCAATAACAGTTCTGACATGACTTAGTCAGATGTATAGATCAAGGAAATGTAGCATGCTTAATATTACATGATTATACAAAGGCTTTTGATACTCTGGAACCATCTATTTCTGTAAAAAAGCTTATACAGTTTGGTTTTCCGGAATCTGCAATTTATTTTGTATTGACATGTCAGTGGGATGTAATTTGGCCAAGTATCCGAGGAAATAACGGTAAAACTGAAAGTACCACAGGGTTCCATTCTGGGGCCATCATTTTTCCTTATGTACATTTTTGACTTCCACGATCACTTTGAACATGATAGTGCTCATCAATATGCTGACGACACTCAATTGTACCTTGGCTTTGAGATTTAAGATTTGAAAAGTGCCGCACTTAATGAATTTATCTAACGTATCTTATGTCCATAATCTCAAAATGAACTCCTCAAAATCATCCGCAGTTATACTTGGACTAAAGGCAGGCAAGATCATTGACCTTGAGAGAATTTCAAGATAAACCTCTCCATATCTGTCATCCAAATTTGTCATATCTAGGTTACCCCTACACAAACTCGTATACTGCTATTAAGAACAAGTCGCCTAAAGAGTTCAATCACTACTCTAAAAAGTAATTTCAAAAAAAGATTGAAGCATTTTATTTCTGATCATATCGAAAAATCGAAAAGTAAGTAGACCATGGCCATGAATACGGACTCGTTACAGATTTTTTCTTTCTTGTTTTTTTTTACTTTGTATAAATAAATCCGAGTTATTTTTATTATAATTTTTATGGAATGTGCTCCTTGTTCCAGGTAAAATCGTTCTTTGAGAGCTACGCGGCTACCGTTGAGGCATCGAGGTATTCAACGATGAATTCTAAAACTTCAAGCACCTACAACACCGAGGCTGAAACCAACGGCAAAGTTAGCTTCCTCTCATCTGGGTTCACAATGGAAAAGTACAGTCCTAAAAACAGTTATGACACCAGCCCCAATATCACAACGGTAAGAGATTGTCAACATATATATATAGGGTGTCCGCAAAGTTGGGGTTTTCCTTTTCAGAAACAACTACTCTTGAAATAACAAAGGTAATGTGTAGTGAAACGAGGGCGACCAAGTAAAAAAAAAACAAAGAAAAAAGTACTCACTCTCCAGTTGACCAGAAGGGCTAAGTACATCTCTGTCCGAAATCATACCGCTCCAACAGAAAATGAAATCAGCTGATGCGCTACCGAGCAGACGCCGGCGGTGGTGCATACCAGTAGACCACGAACAGAGGTAACAAATATGACCATCGTGCAGAAACCACATTGATTGTCTTACACTTAATGGCACATCTTCTAACAAGGAAGGCAAAATGTTGCGTAAAAAGTCTAGGTATTGCATCCCGTCCAATCGATTTGGGAGAATAAATGGTCCAATGAGCATACCGTTCACCATGCCAGCCCAAACATTCACCGAAAATGTTTGTTGAAAATGTGCCCGACGGACAGCGTGCGGATTTTCTACTGACCAAACATGAGTGTTGCGAAAGTTATTCACCCCATTACGCGTGAACGTAGATTCGTCTGTCACCAATATGCACTTCAAAAAGTCCGGATTATTGTCATGTTGATGCAACAACCACTCACAAAACCGCACTCTTGCTGGAAAATCGTCAGGTTGAAGAACTTGTACACGTTGGACGTGAAACGGATACAGCCCCTCTTCACGCAGCGTTTGCCACACTTTAGTTTTTGATACTTGCACTTCTCTAGCCACGTCTCTAGTGCTTGTTGTTTTTTGAAACGCAATCGATTATACGGGTTCGTTTACCTCTACACGCGTGACCGTAACCGTCGGTTGAAGGTTGCATACTGACCTGACAAACTGACCCCGACCCCCGACCCAGTTCTGTCGTCGGGTTGAGCTAGTGTCCTAGTCGGGGATATCGCGAGTCGCGGCTACAGGACGGTATTCAGATATTTTGGATGTTGCAGAGCCCTTTATCTCGGTTCCCTTAAGACATTGGTGTATATGGTACTAAGAAAAATTGCTTATGTTTTCAAGATCTACACGTCGTGTAAAGGAAAACCCCAACTTTGCGGACACCCTGTATATATATCTACAGGGTGACTTTGAAGTTGAGTCATTAATTTTCAGATAATGATTGTAGAAGGAAGATAAACCAAAATATATGTGTGTAAAAATAAAAAAAAATAAAAAAAAAATGTTACTTTGTTTTATAAAGTATCCTCTCGACAAGTATTTCAGTGCGGACCTGTATTTGATCGTGCGGTCTAGGAGCACCGGCATGCCCTCCCCTGTGAGGTCTTAAGTCACCTGATTCACGAGCCCTTTGTACTACATTAACAAATGCACGAGGGGTTGGTTGCACTCGATTGGGAAACCGATCCGCATAAATCCGTGATGCCGCGTAAATCGTCTTTTTTTGAATGGAAACCCCATTTCTGAACTCGTGAACGGAAAGAGCGAAATATTTTACGTTTAAATATGGCTTGACCTTAGGAAGTGACGCTCAAGGTCAAACCCAGGTACGGTGATATAACTTACAAGCCAGTAGCAGTATAGGGAACTAAAGAAACATCATTTTCGTGATTTTTCTAAGAATATCCAATGTTGACCTTGGATCTGACCTTAGCCATAGCTTTCAAGGTCATTTGATTGTCAACTCTTTTTTGATGTGACCCTATACTTTTGAGACGTGGAGAAAAGGGAAATTTTATGTTCGAATATGCCCTTGAGCATTTTTGGAACTTGACCTTAGACTTGACCATCGAGGTCAAACACAAGTTCACCTCAATTCCTTGACAATTCAGAAAACTGTGTAATCCCCAGGTATACTGGCTTCACCGTTATTTCAGAATTGTTCCCTGGCTACAAAAATCGACTTGACCTTCACATGACCTTGAAGGTCATCATGATCAAGGTCAGATCCAAGGTCACCATTGGATATCCGGGGAAAAAGCATGTAAATAATATCTCGGTAGTTTCCCTATAATACTATTGCTTTTCAAGTTATATCGTCGAATCTGGCTTTAACCTAACAAGAACGTAAAATGTTCAACTCTACAGGGTGTCAAAGGTTCTATATAAAAAATCGGCTTGACCTTCACAGCATCTTGAAGCTCATGATCAATGTCAAATCCAAGCTCGCCATTGGATAGCTGGGGAATCAAGCCTCTTATTGTTTGTACCGTAAATTTCAGGATTGTTTGCAAAATATAAAATATGTCCCGAACATGAGGTATGCTCCAAGCAATACACAGTGTCGGGTATATTTATTTCCAATTCACAACTTTCCTGGGATCCTTATAGATGTGTTTTTACTTTCTCGGATATTCAATAACGACACTTTAGTCTTCAAAACATGCCCTTGTCTAGCCACGTCCCTAGTGCTTGCTGAAGGACCCTCGTCTACGAGATTCAGTACTTCTTCCTCAGTTTGCACCATTCGTGATTGTCTAGGTCTCCCACTGTGCACACCTCGACATTCCTCCGAACGACCCGTATCCTTGAGTCTCTGCAGAAGGTAAACAAATCTACGGGGCCCTGGATGATGACCTCTGGGAAAACGATCGGCATACACTCGCAAAGCCTCGGTCGCATATTGAAGACACTCACCGTAAATAAACAGCATGTCGACTAGTTCGCTATTGGTGTATGAGTGTGCCATTTTTCTTATTTTTTTTTCCGATGTAATGGTTTGTTTACCGGCGTCTAGGTTAGGTTGCATACTAACGTAATTAGATCGTAGTCGTACGTGGTATAACTATACGCTGGCGCTGTGAACGTGATCGTAGTGCATTTTAATCACGATTGGTTTTGTTACAGGTGTCGAATAGCAGCTCAACAGGCCTGTTGAACGTAGAGGAGACGCCGACGCCAACGAGCAGTATCGAGACCGAGGACAGCGCCACCAGGGAGGTGGGCGAGAAAGACGTCGAAGGGGACGGGGAGCAAAGCGACTGAATTTTACACAAATCTACACTTTAATGTATATCGAATAGTTTAGGACAAATATTGGGATGCTCGAAAATACCTAGATAATGTGGTTCTTCAATTATTAAGGCTACGATGTGTGATTGCCCATTTGCAATGAGGTACGAACCACCGGCTCCGTGATGACTGCTATGCTGACTCGCATGTTGATCAAGTCAAGGTAAACGTAAAACATTATAAAATCCTGATGAATATGCTTGATTGGACTCGTGCAGATATCGAAGTGAACGGGTCTTAGTTAATGATATATTGGACCTTGGTACTGAAATAATTATTTTCTTATAGATCAAAATGTTTCTCATGAGTTCGTGATTTCCAAGGATGAGAAATATGACAACATTCTATTTGTCAACATAGTATGTGGATCACACTAGTTACAGTGCCTCTCAACATACTTTGTCGTCAAATTAAATATAGTCAGGATCAACGTCCTCAAAAAAATTTATATCACGTTTTTTGATGCCGATATTGCAAAATGATCCTGAGCTATAGAAAAATACAGATACATCATTATATTCAGGAGTTTAATTTGAGAATTATTACGAACCACCTTGCATACATAAAAGTGGTAGAAGTGAAAATGCTTAGACAATTTCTTAGTCCTAATAAATTATAAGAACCTCCTTCACCTACTTTCAAGCATCCCGAAAAGACGTTGGCTGGGCCCCTTATAGGTTTTACTTTCGTCGTCTATCATGGCAGCACAACTGAAAAAAAGACAAACGTCGTATCTTAGGGTTTTAGAAGAAAATATTCACCCCCATATCATCCCCCTTGAACCCGTATTTTTCGATGCATATATGACAGAAGTTTTAGCTTAAACTGTGGATAGTTAGCGCTAGTTTCAATGTGATAACTTTCAATAGCTAAGCTATGACTTCAGCAAGGTAAGTCCAGTCAAAGGTATTGTTGCAGGGTCAGCTGTCAGAAATCATAAAGAAAAGTCAGTTGGAGGATCTCTGGTAAAATAATTTTTATGAATCCTACAAATAGCAAGGCTTGAGGTGGCACGTCCCTTTTTTGGATTTTTTTCAACTACCAAATCCGTTTCATCTGATAGTTTCCTGGAGTATCATAGATATGACTAAAAAACAATGCTTTCATTTTATGTCAAAAAATGCATTTTATTCTGCAATCAGAACTGCTTAACAAATATAACTACAGCTCTGAAATTGTATGTGAAGATTCCTCTTTTATGGAAGAATGAAACGAGTTATTACTTTTATCCTTATCACTTTTTCTTTTCCAAAAATCTTTGATTTTCTTGAAGCCTCGTCTCGCATCAATTTGAGTTTTCAAGAAAAGCAAAGATGTTTCGAAGAGAAAAAGTGACAAAAATAAACGAAGGTTTGAAGTAAATAATATAGTGCCAAAAATTCGGTTTTTCATTTTATACTTGAATATGCTCTAGGTGCCATATATTGTATTGAAATAATCCCAACAGAAAGCGCGCTTGTCAATCGCCATAACGCCGACGGTAACAATATGCTAAGTGTACTTTTATATTTTATTAACAGCTTGATTGATAAATTATTACAACGTTTTTCTTATTTAGAATAATAATTTTATAGCAGTTCTTAAAAATATCGAATTTCATTTTTATAACAATCCACTTCTCTTAGTCTAATAATTGTGTCGTAGAGAATCATACTCTACTCTCCATCTCGTTAAAGGTAACACTTTTTATAATTTCTACCGACAGTCAATACAAGAGCTGAAGGTGACTTGGAGCTATTTCCGCAGCTCTCGTGTAGGAAGTCAGCGGCCCACTACCCGATCTTGTGAAACAGGTTCACACGCGGGGATGTGGTTTTATCGGGTGGTGGAGATTTTAATAGAAATTGTGAATTTGTTCTCGGATCCCTCGTGCGATGATAGCAGCAGTGAAAAGAACACGATTTGTTGTTACAATCATGAACCGTGAGAACTTTTTCGGTTTTAAAGTTGCTTCTGAAAGTTCAGTCAAGACATCCAAGCGTCAAATTTCGAGAGCTGATTGGATCAATATTAGGGCAGAAAATCTAGGCTTCGTTATCATCCGAGAAACCCTGAACGAAATAGAGACTTGGAAAACAACGATGGTTTAAAAAAAATTAAACTATCGCAGAAATGACTCTTACAAACCTGTCCTGCCAAAGTAGGAATGCTGAAGAAAAAAACTGCTGGCCATGATTCCTTACTTGAAGGAAAGAAATGGATAATTTCATGAATAGTAATATTCATTAGAAGCTAATTTTTTTATGTTTTTTTTTTTCGTTATTATTTACCACAATGTTTATACTTTTGTAATGGCACTTAGCACATACATAATATTTATATTTTTGTAACGGCACTTGGCACATTCTATGATTTTGAAACTATTTTTTCTGCTATGTTTTACAAAAAGTTCCCGAAAATATTCAGTACACAGAAAAATACTTACCTCAATAAACTTATGTTTAATTGTCAATTTTTTTTAATAAATTGAATGTAGAACAAAAAATATTGTTTATCTCAAAATAATAATTTTGACACTTTATTTATTTCACGTCTTCAAATGTAATCACGCGTTTCATTTATTTTTAAAGGTGGGATATTCACATACGATTTCAAAGATGTACTAATATTTGTTAACAAGTTACGATCGAAGTATAAATTCACAATGAAATGCACAAAAATGCATTTTATGACCAAACAAAACTAAAAAACGATATTTTTAGGTCATCCCTATACATTTCATGAAGTAATCAGATGGAAAGGATTCAGAATACCGCTGCACACACGCAGTTGACAAAAAAGCGAAAAAAAGGACGTGCAGCTTGAAAAGGCTTAGCTAAAAAGTTTCAAAAAATAATTTATAATTAGTACCTATACTGTTATTAGGTATTTCATAGCCGTCTGTGTATAATTTTTCTGACAAAGTGGCATGCAGCGATATCTCGACAGGACTTCAACAGCATCTGGAGTGATTTGAGATTGAAGTGGTCGACTTAGAACTTAAATACGTGTATTCGCTTATTAGAATCAAACGAATGATATAGGATCATTGTTATCTAATATTTAAATTATATATTATATGAATTTTAGTTGGTAGGTGAATTAATATTTATTGAAGATGATGAAAAAAAATCGATAGAGACAAATATCTATTCTATGGAATAAATAGAATAATTGTTGCGTGTTTCAGCACAATTTTGTTTTTTGATTATCCTTTTAGTACAGTCAATGAAGTAATTTGTAAGACGAAATATTTTTGTGAATTTATCAGGTATATTTATAACAAAGATATTTTGGTACTGGATACGAGCGCGGTCCGGTAAGTACTTCACCTCACCGCCAGACGGGCCACGACCGCAACAGAAATTTGCTATTAATTTCAGTGGAACCGGTAATTCGATTCCTATTTTTGGGAGGTAAATGGTGCAGTGAAATCCGCCAGATTTGGCCCCATGCGGCTTTTTTTCTGTTTCCAAACTTGAAAACGTGACTCGCCGGGAGAAACTTGAGTCGAATGACGAGGTTATGGCCGCCACGGAGGCTACTTTGCAGACCTACAAAAAACGTATTTTTCAGACGGAGACAATGTCTAGAAATAAATCGCCACTTTTACGACCGCCCTCGTATACCGTGATGTCCAGGGTCGTCGTCATACATCGCCGTAGAGCAAATATTACGGCGGGTCTTGTCAGTTTGGATGCATTGATAACGATTGGAGGAAGATGGCAGACGGTGACTCATAAAAATTCCACTGAAATGATGATAATTGAAAGAAGACAATATACAAACAATACAACAAACTCTATTGATTTTCAACCTTACAAGAATAAACAAACTTTTAGATAAAATTAGCTGATAACATTTTTGTGTTGTGGCTCGTATAGTACCGAGGTACTGCAGTGGTCCTCCAACGCATCGATGTATCACAGTGAGGTATACTTCAATATTAAGATGGTTAACTTCTTTAAACCAAATTATTGCTTATTAAGTTTATATATTTTATGGACTTTCTTCTTCTTTTGAAAAATTTCTTGACTGTACTATAACGTTGAGTGTGAGCGGCACTTAAGTAACACGTGAAAGACCCCTCCTCATTAGCAATGTATTTGTTAAAAAAATGTATAATCATTGACCAAATTAAGAATATATGTATACGTGAATATAATGTAATGCTAAGATATATTCTGTAATATGTGAAGAATCCCTTTAGAACCGCACAGTGTATCTTTGAATTTTGGAGGACAGAAACGAACTATTTCTATCCTTCACTGTATCGCTCCTATCATGGCTGTTGAATTATGAAAAGCGTTTTTATTGATGCCTATATTCCTTTTTTAACAAATACATTTCCATTTAAGTTCGACGCTATTTTTATTTCAAATTTATTCAACACAAATTTTGTGGTAAGGAAACCGAAACAAGGAGAATTGAGAGAAGTTACCAAAATACTTGTGAGCTTTAGTTTTTGTTTGAAGATAATGCTGTTCGTGGTTACCGTGTCTTTAGCCATTTTTGTACCGGCTGGCGTATTTTGGTACTTTTGTATTTGCAACGACTTAAGACCGCCGTCCATTTTTTCGTTTTTTTTCAACTATCCTTTTCATCTGATTACTTCATGATGTGTATAGAGATGACTGAAAAACATCGTTTTTAATTTTGCTTTTTTGTGCATTTTAATGTGGATTTTTTCTTCCATCGTAACTTGTTAACAAATATCAGTACAGCTATGAAATTGTATGTGAATATTCCACTTTTATGGATGAATGAAACAAGTAATTACTTTCATTCTTATCACTTTTTGTTTTCGAAAAATCTTTACTTTTCTCGAAAAACTCATCCTGCTGCATGACGAGGCTTCAAGAAAATCGAAGATTTTTCGAAAAGGAAAAGTGATAAGAAGAAAAGTAATCACTTGTTTCATTCTTCCATAAAAGAGGAATATTCACACACAATGTCACAGCTGAACTTATATTTCTTGACAAGTTCCGATTGAAGAAAAAATGGCCAATAAAATTATCAGATAAAAACGATTTAGAATACTGCTTGCAAACATTTAGTTGAACAAAATCTAAAAAAAGGACGTGACGCTTTAGGCAAGAAAATACGTTCAAGTACACAGCTTTGGCCTATCTACAGCATTCTCTTTAAGTCATTTCTATTGACGAGTATTAGGACCATTTCCACCGTCTGGAAGAAAAAGTGAAAAATGCAATTTTCCCGATATCATTTCCTGAAATCCTCAAATACCATTTCCTCGCTAGAGCGTTCCATTTTGAACTTTTCTGTTGAATAATTTGAGATAAAATCATTACACGAGGATATCTGAGTATGGTAAGCAATCTGTGAACATTTTTTCTAATGCAATATTGGAAAACTTCAGCTGAGGTGATATCAGATCCCCATTCACT